TAGAGGTAAAAAATTAACATAGTCTGTTATAGGGTATATTTTGTGTCGACTCTAGAACTTCTTCATAGTTCAAGGGATTTTGAAATAACTTGGCACAAATAGTCACAATAATAAGCCGGTATGTCAGGTACAACACCTGCACCCCTACCTCTTAAGGTCAAGGTCACACTTAGAGGTCAAAGGTTAACAGAGTCTGTTATTTGGTAGATTTTTTGTCCCGTCCATTACTTCTTCATAGATCAAGGGATTTTGAAAATACTTGGCACAAATAGTCACAATGATTAGATGATGTCATGCGTAACATCTCTGTTCCTTCCTCCAAGGTCAAGGTCACACTTAGAGGTTAAAGATTTACATAGTCTGTTATAGGGTATATTTTATGTCCAATCTATAACTTCTTCATAGTTCAAGGGATTTCGAAAATACTTGGCACAAATAGTCTCAATAATAAAAATGTCATGCACAACACCTGCTCCACTACCTCCAAGGTCAAGGTCAAACTTAAAGGTCAAATCTTAACATGGTAGATTTTTAAATTCCGTGTTTCATTTTATTTTTTTAACAAATTTAATGTTGTATTTGCAGATCTAGCATTGATCATAATTTTGGACTAAATGTCCTGAGATCCATACCTCAATCTTTTGAAATAGCACAGTTTTTACGCTTCATATAAAACTCCCGGGGCGGGGGACGTTGGTTACTCTGTTACAAATTCTTGTGGATTTTAGATCGAACTGATGGACCCATGTTTCATCCTAAGTTACGATTCGTTAGAGAAGATAAAATCAGGCTCATCCTCATAGCGAGACAAAATATATCTTGAAATGTCAAGCCCGGTCCGTTTCAGCGGACCAATCTAGCGGGAACCTTTGACATGCCATAGACATCAGTCAGAATTGCCTGAACTGAACCAAAGCTTATACCCACTCCCCTAGCAATCTTTCGCAGGTCTCGTCTTCTGTCGCAAATGACCAGATCGTGCACAGCTTCGACAGTTTCATCGTTGGTGGCCTCTTTTTGTCGCCTAGGCCTCTCATCATCTCTAATGCTCTCCCTACCCCTTTTAAATTCAGCAGCTCATTTTTTTCACAGTGCTTTAGGAAAGGGACTCCTTCTCAAGTGTATCTATGAAGTCTTCATGGATTTCTTTGGGGACATCCCTTTCTTACAGAGATTCTTAATGACGGCTCTGATTTCAAGTTTCTCCATTCTATCTAAATAACACACCCCTCTACTTATCAAAGTGTGTCCTATGTTACTTAATCTGTGTAAAACGTGTGTAACTCGGTCAGTAATATTCAATAAGATGTTGGTATCGACGTATTGTGTGTAAATGTCAGTTTTAGGCAGTACTTACTAAGTGTGCCAATCAGTCTATTGTCTGACGCACATTTCACATCCCATAGCTTTAGAATTGGCAGAGCCAAAGATTTAGCTGCCAAAAGTTACCTTGCGTCAGTAATAATGGAACTGGGAAGATGGACATCTCAAGCGTTTAGACTTCGTTTTTAAATGCTAATTCTTATTCAACCACTATCATACGCTGTGTAATCTTTTACTTGTATTTAGCTGTTTTGGTCCTGGGTGACTCGATTTCATTTTGGGCTGAACAGCGGGCAAAGAACACAGGCAAGACTAACTTAGAAATGACAGAAGCCTGGCGGGGTGTTCGAAATATGATAAACAAGATCGACAAGGAAAGGCGGCGTTCAATGAACGCCTTCGTTGGCAGTCCTTCCGTCACTCTATTGAATCACAGGTGCTGTTTCTTCACCTCCATCCATTATAATTGTTCATTTAGCAGGTAATGATTTGCCAGATTTACCGTTCTTTATTTTGAAAGATGTTATCCGCGATGAGATTTTTTACTTGCGTGAAGCTTTCGCTACAACAGTACTTATTTTGGTAGATATACTTCAGCGCGAATTTGGGTAGATATACTACAGAGTCAGACCTGGCATAATGCCACGTGGGTAGGGGTGCTATTGAAAATAAACGTAAACGAGTTAACAGGATAGGCCGGCAATTAGTTTATTTTTCGGGTAAAAGTGATACAATTAAGCCGGACAGACGGGGTAAATCTCATTGATATTGGTTTTTAATTCTTCCTATATTACCTCAAAGATTCTATCATTAAAACTGTACCAGTCTATCGATAAAAAATTGGGGGATAAATGTTTTATAAGCGTATACGGGTCGTTAAATTCTTTTGATCGAGAGGAGATCCAGACATTGTATTGTGTTTTTCTGGCATTTTAACTTAAAACCCAGTTTATTTGTAATGCTCGAGACGAAATACCCGTCAGGGTTGGCCGACCTATCACCAGGAAATTAGTTTTTGGAAGTTTTATACAGTTCGTCCATGTGTTTTGACTTGCGTTTCGCGTTATTTGGTTTTGGCCGTAGTACTTGGCAATTCATGTTTTCCGTTGCAGTATTTGGTGTTGCAGTACGATGGCATCCGTTGTGGCATGAACAGGCTCAATCAAACCGAGCCTGCAACATTTTCAATTATGTTGTGTTGGACTTTCTTTGGAGATTCTTATTTTCTCTTATCTATTTATACGGTTGGATTCCCAGCGATGAATGGAATCTTCAATTTGAAGTCATTTGCGGTTATCTTTTGGATTGTTGAATACTGTGTTTTGCGTTTGCGTTGCGTTGTTTTTGTTTGACACTGTTTGCAGGTTTTTGAATGTGCTTGGACTTTAGCAAAACGATATTGTGTAATATAAAGCACTTCTGATCTACTTGCGGTAAAATTTATTTAGACACGTATACCATATCAAATTCGAGCGACTAAAACAATCCAGCCTTGAATTGTATTTAGTACAATAATGCTTTATTGTTTATAATAACATAATTGAAGTGGTCATGTATGAGTCATATACATATAACAAAATAAATATACAAATACTCAAAGTCGTTTTATTTAATTTCAGTTATTAAAATAAACGATGTAAGTTTGTTTTGGGTTTAAATAAGGATCAGAGTTCTTTGATTTGGGCTTGCATAATAACAAGTTTGTTGTATTTATGCATTTATGCATTTGAGATAGAATAAGGTTAAAATACCTAAAACATATAGTGATAACTAAACAAATACATGCTAGTTATCCAACTGAGAATATTTCAATTTTAAGTCGGGTGGTGCTGCTCAGCCTCCATATCTTGGAAATTGGTTAATGTTTTATTTCTGTTTTTAAGATTAAATGACATCATTCTTAAAAGATTAAATGACATCATTCTTAAATTGTGAAAAGGAAATTGTGTTAAAATTGATCAAATTTCGGACGCCTTGTTGAATTTACATTATGCCCATTTAAGTGCAAATTGTCAGTGAACAAGAATGCATTTGTGTACTTGTTATCACCATTTCAAAATGTGACAGACACAAAATTAATAGAGGATATGGTACGTGATATAGTATATTTTGTGTTCAGTCATCAATCAAGGGACTGGATGTTGTGCATGACATGTAGTCTTATTATTGTAAACATGTGTGCCAAGTTATTTCAAAATCCTTTGATTGATGAAAAAAAAATATATTGCACACTGAATATACCTTTCAGCTAACCATTTAAGTTTTGTCATTCAAGTGTGACCTTGACGTTGAATGTTTTTGAGTATAACACATGGTCCCATTATTGTGAACATTTGTGCTAAATAATTTCAAAATCATTTAAAAGACCATGTTAAGCTTTGACCTTGGAGATATCGATCCGGGTATTACGTCTTATTATTGCCAACATTTGTGTAATTTAAAAAGCCCTTGATGGATGAAAAGTAATGGAACAGACACCAACAGTACGATCGAACAGACAATGTTGATGTTTTATCACCAAGTGTGACCTTGACCTTGAAGATAGGAATCTAGGTGTTGCGCACAATACGCTTTCTTTTTATTGTGAACATTTGTGCTAAGTAATTTCAAAATTCCTTGATGGATAAGAAAGTAATGAACTGGATTTTTTTTATGTTTTGTTAACGTTTTGTTAAGTTCATATGCCCATTCAAGTTCAAATTGTCAGTTAACATGTAAAGATAAAAAATATTGACATTTTGCCATAATTTGTTCAATAATATATTAAACACCGAAAATGATAATAAATAACAAAACACGTTACTTCCGGAAATTACTATAAATATCGTGCAAATGTATCGGTTTAAAAATATGTGACAATTGTTTACATAATCTAGCTAGTATATATACTGTATCATAAACAATTTTCTATATCAATTATTGGTCACTTACAATAATATTTGCAAAACGTTTGAAATAAAATATATTACACTTTGATCTCATTTTGACAGCTGAAGAATACTGTCACATTATGTCACTTTAGACGTAACAGGTATACATTAAAACACTTATGTCTAAACTATAAATAGAAATTTGCAGACAATGAGGATAATGTATTGTAATATTGATGTAATCCGTTTAATGTCTTTTTTAGAAAACAAATAGTTGTTTGGAGAAAATTATTTTGATCTTCTTTCGCAACAGGCTCCAAAAAATAAAATGAATTGGATAATAGATAATTATCATTCTGTATTTAGTAATTAAACAGTTGTTTTCATTACTTAACATTATAAACATTTCTCCATATATTTAAAATTCAGAAATAACCTATGAGAAAAGGCAGGTGTACTTCGGCCGAGTACCTTTATAAAAGATACTTCTAAATCTTGCGTCATTGATTAGCGTTTTTTACAAAGAAATGTTAGTTTGTAAAAAACATTCCCTTAAGGAAAGATGTTCAATAAATGTAAATTCGTAAGAATAATTATCTTAAAATCAGTAAATATTACCTACAATAACTAAGATAATGGCAATAGAACTGTGTCCATGTTCGCATTTGATTAGAACCTAGACAGTCTTTAAGTACATTTTAAATTATATTATATATATTATTATACTTATATATTTTTTAGTTGTGACCAAGATTTTTGAATGTTTGGCCTTTTGTACCTGAAAAGGATGATTGACAAGATAAATGGTCAAAACAGATCAATTTAGATTAACAAAAAAGTAATACTCAATGACTTAAGCCTGACATGCTCCGTGGGAATAATTGTTACTGTGCTTTTTATGACAAAGTATTTTCATGTATAAATACAAAACTATGTTATCTAAAATCTAATCCTACATGATTTCGGAATAAGTGGCGAGAGACAAATGATAATAAGAATCAATATCTAAGTTTATTTGTCAGGGAGAAATTTCGGTTTACCCGCGGATCAAATCAGCGACTCTTAATCACTACTAGTAATCCCGCGCCCTAAAGAGCTCTACTAAGAAAAACAGACAGACTTTATTAAGATAAGAAAAGCTTTATTGGCAGTACTGAGCACTAATGTGTTGCAGGAAACGTAATAAATCTTATGCGTTGTCTTCATTATCATATCATTAAAGCACTTTGTTAATTTACTTATTAATACCAAATAATACATTCCTACTAAAGAGGTGCAATTTGTACAGCCGGTTCCGGTTGCTGAATACAAGTTCAGCAATGTCCAAAACTTCTCGACATACCGACACAAAACCTATGTTGTATGATGCATGGGGTGCTGCAAATTATCATACAGGTACAATCGGAATAAATAACAGAAAATGCTTTGTCAGTGGGTATTTATTGTAATGGCATTAAACCGAATGCATGTATACGTTGCATTGTTAAATTAATAATGTTTAATTCTTTTGCCACAACTTGCGACAAGTATCAAAATCCTAGCAGATTAATCCCTTATCTTGTTTTTTGTTGTTGTTTCATTATCTCATAGTAGTGGCTTAGCTTTATCACTTAATTTTGAGTATCTTCTTTTTCTCCAAACTGTCACATTATTTTTTGTTTTGCATGTTCTAGAAATCATTAGTTTCTGGACTATTTTATTGTTTACAGAACAAATTAGAAAAGAAAATAACAAAGAATGGCAACAACATGTTCTTGTAGTACGATTTCTTAAAATACAAAACTCTTTGGTACATTGTATCATAGTTTGGAGACCTTTCTGTTGAAAATGTGTCAGGGTTAAATCGTATACATATACATGCACAGTGCGTTAACTGGAGTGCGGGTATTAGTTACCCGCACTCAAGAGCATGCCCATTGATTGGCTCATTTTTGCTGGGGTTTACATACTGTGACGGCAGAGAAAGGGAAAGCGACATATATGTCATATTCAGATGTTCGTTCATTCGTTCATTTTTGCCGGGGTTTCATATTGTGACAACAGGGAACGTGCTTTTATGTTTGACTATGATACAAAAGAGAAAGAACACCAAAACACTCGGCAATCTGATTAATACTCGGGGGCTGCGCCCCCTCGTACAAATCAGATAGCCTCGTGTTTCGGTGCTCTTTCTATTGCTTAAATGCACACACAATAGAATTTTGTTACCCTTATTATTTGCAAAACAAATAACATTCAATTAAAAATGACCATGTAAGCAGAACTGTATTGTAGAATAAGATATAACCTTAAAATATTTTTTATAAGTTATAATCATTTACAAATTTAATTTTATAGTTTGATGAAATCGATTGACTACAATAGATAGCTATATACAAAATTTAAAACATTAATTACATGAAAAAATCGTTTTGTTTTTGATATACACAAAGCTAAATTTTCTACGTACATACATACTTACATACAAACATTTTTATCAAACACTTTATGTAATAACATAAGAAACTAAACAACAATGACTGACTGATTTGATTATGAACAAAAAATAATTTATCAACACACTAAAACGATAACAGTCACATTTGTATTCCTTATAATTAAACATGTTTTAAACTAAAATTGGAATATTTATACATTAAATGGATGTATAATCGTTATTCCATGCTTACCAAAGATTCAAACATGCCATGTTTACATGTATTTTTTATTCCCAAGGCAAGGAATGTAAACATACAAATTGAATGTAGTTCACAGACACAGCTGTACAAACAGTTTGCTAACTAAAATGTATATGCTCACTCCACAGTAGACAGAAATGGTTTTTAATAAGATAATGTGTGCGATAATGTTATAAACTGAATACATGTAAAAATAGTATATCCCAGTGCTTTTGAATATGCTGCAGGAACAGTATTAAACTGATACTTAACATCTATTTTCCTTGAGCAACGCCTTTACACAAAATAGCTCCTCCTTCTTCCAACAACAATACAGGCCAAACAACAAAATCTATTTTCTTTCCAGCTTTTGTATATTGTTTATATCTGCTAGTATCAAAGTTGGATCCTGGCTTGGCGCACGTATCAATAACAATAGGTGGAGTTTGTACGTGCATTAACCAACACAGCTCTATACAACGGGTCGTATAACTTCGCAACTTTTTCGGACCAAACCAGCCCTTATGTACCGATTCTATTTGCTATGAAAATATAAAGTAAAATTATACTTTTAATTTGAATTTATACTTTTAATAAATTTGTCATGTATTTAATCATAAATTTAATTTGTATCATTATTTTTTCTTTCATAGTTTATGTGTTGAAGAACATTTGTTTTCGTAAAGTATTGTATTATGGCAGAAAAACAATATTTAAAATTAAATAAGAATAAAGATCAACAAGGCAAGGCAACGTTCACAGAAAACATCCTCGGCACAATTCAGTCACAGGCTATTTTGCAACATGTTTACATGCATTTATTTGACTGTATTATACAAATCGTGATAATCTTATTATGTGACATAACATTTGCTTTAGAACACACATACCGATATTACATTAACAACAGATATATCTGCAGTCTGCTTGCGAAGTTCTGATAAAGCCTTTGACGGAACCGCTGAGAAGGAGACAGGGTTTTCCGTTTTTCCCTTTTTCTGGAAAAGAGATATCCAAATTCGTATGTAACTAAAACGTAATAATTAGGTTATAACGTTGAAAATCATATATGTTCTCCAAAAATAACTATATACAAAATGCATTGTATAGCAAACACATACAGGCTTTAACGTATTGACTTATAAATGTTTGTTCGTTAAAGAAACGTACATTGAATATTTGGTACACGTTTTGCTAAATACATGTGTCATAACGTGACAATAAAACATACTTTATATCTAACTGTAATATCTTATTATTGTTTATATGAATACATTTATTCGTAAAAAAAACGAAAAGTTAAACAAGGACATCGATGGTGGTTACCAAAAAGAGCACATGAGAGATGGAAGGATGTGCAAGTGAGAAAGGTGTAGAGTGGATGAGTAGCTGATAGTTCATGTCTGGTTCTTCCAGAATGTGTAGGCGAGGCACAAGTATTCCAACATTCAGACATAAGGTCGGTATAATGCCGCTTAATGTAATTTTAAAATTAGAGTAGAGAAATTATCATAATTAAATGCCTAATGTAATGAAAATTGATGTTTTGCTCTTAACTGGTAAAATGTTATAAATATAGTATTTCAAACAAAGCGTTAAAGAATTCATTAAAGGAGCGCTCTTTACTGCAGGCACTAAACAAATACAGAAAATAAGAATCCCGAAAGAAAGCCCAAAATGTTTAAATTGAAAATATTGCAGGCTCGGTTTGATTGAGCCTGTTCATGGACGGTATTGTCAAGTGAAAACTACAAAGAAAATTATCGGATAGACAGAGAGACAAACACAAATATCCCTACTGAGGATCATAGTGCACGTTATGTTTTACCGTAAGAGAGCCTTATAAACAAAACAAATGATTTCCAAACAAAGAAACCATTGATTTAAATGTAGAATAACCTCTTTTGCCCCGGCTTTCAAGTTATATTTAAATACCCAACTGCCTTTTATATTGTGTGAAAATTATTTATCACGGGAAACTTGTATAGATACCAATACCGGAACAAGAATTATTTATTACCTGTTCTGATGCTTGTCCAACTTCTATATTATTTGCAGGATAACACACAGCATTCTTCAAATTCCGTTGATGATTCATAGATATTTTTCCACAAATTTCATAACAATCCTATTAAGAAAGTAATAGATAACAAAATGCATTTTCAATTTAGTATACCAGGTTATCAAAGCAATGTTATTAGATAGGTCGAAAAAATAAAGATATATTAATTTGACGCAATATATCCGCCGTGGAAACATCCTTTTACTTAGTTGTTTCTACCTTTATACATCAACAACAATTTAATTTAAAATGTTATTTGGGTTTTATTGACACTGTTAACAATATACATATTATAAGTAACCAATTGCTTACCCCTCATTTATTAGTGCAATTTAAGATTTGGATTATTGTTTATACATGTATATATTTCAGGTTAAATTTAAAGGTACATCATGCCTTAGAAACAGTTAAATATTTTCTTCTTTTATAGTGTTTAAAAAATTGTTGAGGAGAAATTTAGATGCTTGTTTCCTGAAGAGAGTAGTAAAAAATGTGAAATAATTTGTCATAAAAGTAGCAAAATATTAACAGAGTAGTAATTTATTTTCATACAAAATACCAATTCATTTTAACTGTACTGATGACCAAATAAGCAACAGATAAAAAAAGATGGTTCAGGTAATAGGTCAATGAGTAACTTTTTGATATGTTAACAGTACACCAAAATTAAAAAGCTTTTGAGAAATAAAAAGTAAATAAAGGCATTTCTGAGGCATACTGGGCCTTTAATACGCCTCTTACTACAATAATCTTCAACAAAAAATCTGTGTTTTCTTGATCTTTATCTTTCAATATCTCGTATGCCTCTGTCCAAGGGTCGTCATGCAACTCTGAAAACTGTTCGGCAATTTTTGTTGGACGATTTGGATCACCAAGATCTGCAATATATGGGTTGTTGTCCGTCAGACGTGCTCCAGCGACCTTTGATAATCTAAATTTGGTTACAAATTAAATAACAGATTTTAAATTGTTAAAATGAAAAAAATTAGATCAAAAAGAATGTTACACATTTTACTTAAAATAAAAAGTGTACATTAACAATATTGCTTTGAAATCATAACATTGTTATCTGATAAAATCCCGTTTTGACATAATAATTCCTAAAATATAATACGTATTTACATTTGAATTGCAAAAGAAAGTACAGCTAAGCTTTGGCTAAGTATAAACATTATCTCAAGAAACGTTATCATAATGCAAATGCAATGTCGACGTAAAAAGGACTGTAATACTTTTAACAATTGTAAGACGTTTTGTAAATTTTGTTATTTTTTTTCTTTCGTTTTGCTATGAAATCATTCTTGTTAGTGACTATAAATATTTTGATTATGTCATGGACTACTTAATGTTTCAAAAATCTACTTAATGCTGTGAAATGAAATATCGTGTTGCCTACGTTAAGAAATGAGCTTGCTATTCTCACAGTTCTGTACAGATACTAGAATGTTATCGCTAGTTACGTTTTTTTGACATGCTCTGAATAGTCACGATTGTAATCATTCTCATACTTACTATGAAAATGTTAATTCTATGAAGTCAAACCAATATCAGAAGTATAACCTACATACACAGTTAATAACTTGTATATAAATGTTTATATATTTCTTTACTCTCTATGTTTTTTTTCTACATTTACAGTATTATACTTTATCTCCTTTGATGTACCTTAATTATAAATATCTTTATCATACCTATTATATGCACTGTCTTTATCCTCCCTTAATTGTTCATTTTCAACAAGCAAATTTATCATCTTGTCCTGTAAATTATCATAATCTTCTCTTCTGACATATCTTATCTGAAAACTTAAACCAAATTAGACTTTTTAATTTATGTAAAATGAACTGAAATTATTTTAATTTTTACTAAGGTTTGCAGCCTAAATTGTACAGATTTGATTTAGCATTATGTGGAGAAATAATTTTTTTTCATAATTATAAAAGCATAGGATAAAGTGTACCTTTAAGTATAATCTATATAATCTTTTTTACATGTTCAAAACTGAATTAAGGCATTTTATTGATGCATAAAAATATACATGTGTATCTACTTTTTTCATTTTCTGGGAACAAAATTTAATGTGTCTTAAGAATTACGTATGTGTTGTTGTATTTTCATCTCTTTTTGAAATGGTGTTTAAATAAATGTAGACTATAAATACTCAACATAAAAGTATTCTGATTGAGCGATGTCTATTTCTATCAGTTTACTCAAATATTTTACTTCTAACATACGAGGAGCGTAAAATACCAATGCGCTTAATTTAACGCTGATTATAACTGTTTCAACTTTCAAACGAATAGGAATTTAGTAAGACGCTATCAAATATAGCATTTTTAATTACCTTTCCTTGTTTTCCTTCGTGCAAGCACATATACGACCAATTAGTGCTACATGGTTCTGAAACCATTCTGGTACCTTTTTACGTTGTGAATCCACATTTTTGCGTGGTTCTAGAAACAGGTAGGGTGTGTTTAAGAGTTCAGAGTATGACACAGCAAGAGAATGAGTGGACTCATCAACCACTCTCCGCATTTCGTTAAATATTTCCTTCCGTCTGAAATATAAAAAGGTAGATAAGGTTATATCAAAATTTTATTTATATATGTGTTTTATATCTATTGTTATATTAATTAATGTATTTTATGATGAAGATTTAATTAAGAAGAGACATATTTGACATGGGAATACAAATTTATTAAGCTAAATGTTCTAACCTTATACATTAAGTAATGTTGATTAGACCTATGATCGTTTCGGTGACATTTGAATGTCGTCTTGATGATGTAATTAGTGTTCTATGTCACTAAGTCTCTTTTGTTTCGATCAAATTTGATAAAGCTGAAACTTGTGATACGGGATGCAGCCTTTGTTGTAATACTACTGTCATACTACAGCTTATGATTAAGTTATGAAGGATATGCTTAATTAAGAATTATACAATTCAATGCATTCTTGGTAGAAATATATTTACATAGTACTCAATCTCCATCTTTTGAATAAAGACATGCGTGTGTCCTTTTTTGTCTCAATTTCTTTCAATCATGGAATTTATATTTGAATAATTCACGTCTAAGGATTAAAGTCATACATTGTGTCCGTTTAGAATATAGTTTATGAATGTTAAAACTACACTTACTTTTCTACTATTTTTTTAATCGCTTTGCATCTGTTTGAAACTGAATCGGATTTTCTATCGATGTTCAAATCCACTTCAAGCATTGTAACAATCTCGATAAATGCGTTGGTTTCATTTTTGCAGCTAGAATAGGTGTCAAAACATGCATATATACACAATGAAGAAAGCTAGATCACATTTCCCTTTTTCTTTACCGTCGTGTATTTAATGAACGGTCAAGAATAAAATTATTATTATTATTTACCTGAAATATAATAAATGATTACTTTGAAAAAGCTAAAATTTGAAATAGGTAAATCATTTGTTTTAAATTTAATATCGCAGTGAATAATAGGAAGTATCATCTTTTCATTTTCATTTCATATTTCATAAATAGATATTTATTTAAACAGAAACAGGAGATGTTTGCGAAACATTATGCCCCCACCGGAAGGAAACATTATAGGCAGTATACATGGAAATGAAATTTACCTTTTGAACTTAAAGCAGCGTGCCTCCAGATGAGCGAAAATATTTCGATAAATGTACTAAGAGTTTTGGAAAAGTAGAAAGATTCTAGATTCGAGTAATACTTTTCATGTTATTTGCGATTAGTGGTTATTTTTCTATTAATGTGTAGCTATATGTCTCCTGAGAAACTAACGCAGTCAGTGCAATTTTCGCATATTTTGACCTATTTTTGTAATGAATATGTATTGCAAATGCCATTGATAATGTGCAAATTGCTTCCTTTTGGTTAATGTACAATATTATACTTTTAATTACATTTTTCAAATTTTCATGAAAATAAGCATTAATCTGGAGGCGTGCTGCTTTAAAATCTACTGGTACTATCTGAGATGCATCAACTTATCAAGTATGACGTGTCTAGGCTTACGTTTTTGAATAATAGGTTTGACAAACGTTGGTTGGCAAATAGACCATTAGACAGGGTTTACTGTACTTCTTAATTATGAATTATTATCAACCAACCTTTTTTTTTCATTGTATTCTTTATTTAATTCAATCAGATGACCTCAGTAGATGCAGAGTGATATAATAGTGGTCCAAGTAATATGTTGGATGTGCATTACAGGCATTATATGTGTTTCGCAAGTCTAATGATAATATACATAAGCCCTGGATATTCGTCCTAAAGGAATTTTATATTGGTAACGTAATATTTTCCCATAATATCTGATAGCTGAGCATTTTAGGTCCAATGGCAACCACTTTATAATATCCATGAAATGTTGCGAGGAAAATGAACGAAAACTGAAAATAATTGGAATTTTTCAAGCCCAGGGGGAGAATGGGGGTGGGGGGGGGTGGGGTTGTGGCATAACTCTGTCAAACCTTGCTCGATCATACCCAAAACAATATTTGATCTAGACATTTGTATAATTAATCTGTATACTAAGTCTCATTTCAGTATGAGTAACCTCTGCAAAGAAAATGAACGGTAACTGCAAATATTTGGAATTTTGCTAAGCCTAAAATTGCTAGATCGTACCCAAAAAAAAAGAACTTGATCTAGGTATTTTTATCATCAATATGTATACCAAATTTCATTTCAATATGTACGGAATCACTGTAACTTTACTCATTGCCAAAAAGATGGATCAGCTACTTGGCTCATGAGTTCGATTTTGGAAACTGAAAAAAAAAACCAACTTTTTTAAAGAATTATGGCGTTTTTGAGAAAATTATATTAAGAATTACCTGTTAGTATACGAAATTTATCTTAAAACATGAAGAGACTAAATTTCTCCAAAACAGTATTATTTTAAATGCTTCTTGTCACAAAATGTAAATACATGTATGTGTAACATATCAAATGAGAAAGAATGTTGTCAAATTAAAATGATACGCGCATTATGGACAAACATGAAGTAAACAAATAACCATGCTGCTTTTCCGATTTGTAATGAAACGGTTAAACAAGGTCGTGCATATATTTTGACGTGACTTCATATGCGTTATAAATTTTTAAAACAGATGGGACAAAAGCTAAATGTAAATTAAACACTACATTATAACAAGTTTCACATTACCCTCCTAACAGATAGTCGGGTGCATAACATGACACGATATATACACGGTTTCAAGGGAAAAAGATGTTGAACCTAGAGAAATGGAGAATTAGCGTAAGAACAGCTTTGGACAGCACTGTGTCAAGGAAAGCTGCAAAAGTTAAGATACTAAAGTGATAAAAGCGGAAAACAGTTTTGGTATAGGTACTTGCATCAGGAAGGTGTCTTTTCGTAAATGGTTTAAGTGAAAATGAAATGTAAATACTCCTCATATTTGCCGCTTTGTGTTTTTGATACGCCATCGTGAATTTACAGAATGTACAACAATTAAAAGCAATTACTTATCTTCTTTAAAGTTTAATTCTTGAATCGCGGATTAAATCGGAATACCGTTTTTACTATGTATCTTTTTAATTATTAGTACTTCAGATACTTATTCGAAGCATAACGGGAATGAACGAAGTGTTGCAATTGACATCTATACAAAAAACGTGAAGTAACTTATTAGTATATAACATTTATAACATTTCTATTATATTCTAAATAACCTTTCAAGTATTCTAAGCGTACTACTTTTATATGAATCAACAAGTGTATTGGGGTCGTCATTATTTGAATGATTTCCTCTATTTAGATCTTAATATATCATGATACCCTTTGCCTCTACTTTCGAAACGAGTCCTTCTATCGAAAAAATGTCAGATATATTGAGATCTGCTTCAAAAATCAACCTAACTATTGCATGCATAGATATTTGACTCTGTAACTGTTACTATATGTTTTAATAATAATTGACGTTCACTTGCTTTTCAGTTCTTTAGCATATGCCGTGTTAAAACCAACTTTCAATTAACATAATTAATATAAGGTAGTTTACCCCTAACGGGCATTATCAGGGACAGAAAAATTTACAACATTTGTATAACATTTATTAAATGATACCTGTATTCAAATTTGAACAAAATTTGCCTTACGGTAAAACCTTGATCATTACCCGGGTTCATTTTCAAAAACAAGGAAATTCTTAATTATCATTTTTATCATGCTTACGAAACAATTATACCTATTAATCATTGTTACTAAGCAAAATCTTATAACATTTATCTTACATTTCATTCAAGCTTCATAATTGTTTCTAGTCAAAATGTCTGAAATTATAAAGCTAAATAAAAATTACCTTACCCCACCTATCCAAAACACTCGTTAGATTATTTTCTGCTAAGTGTGCCTGATAAATATTCATCTCTAAAACTATTAAATTCAGGGCTGTTCTCAAAGTTTACATTTCTTGTAAGTATATTGGTAGCTCTTGTTAAATATGTATGTCTTTTGATCTTAAGAGACGTTCTAAATACCAAGCACCATATTTGTTATCATATCTATCCTTATTCAGCCAATACATACCTGTGACAAGTTTATCACTTAAATGTAACACCTTTTTCTAAAACTGATCCAATGTATTAAACATATTATGTTTTAAAAGAACAAATAACAAGGCAATTGCCGTATTAGAGTTTGACCCTCATGACAGTTATTCTAGCCTATACACTTCAACGTGGATCTAAGTCATTACGAGTATATCATCTCCTAAAGTGTAATATAAAAAAGTATCAAACTGATTGCCAAATGTGTACTCAAACAGACTAATAGTAACACAATTTCATTAAAAGTTTTCGTATTGAGTTGACAAATGTAATCCGAAAAACACAAACTATAAGGAACTAACTCTGGTAACACAAAATGAAATATTTCACAATTTCGCAAATTGAACATTTCATGTTAAAACATTATATTTTTCAAAAACTTATTTTCATAAATTCAAACTTTGTTAAAAATCAGTCACATACGACAATATTAAAAATAGTTTTGTTCTTGCATATCAGACAGAATTATCTACCGATTACACTGGTGCTAGAAAAATCAATCTTACACCCAGGTCGCTTGCTTTATATGAAGTCATTCCCGCGCGCCTTTTATAAATGAATTGCGTCCTTATAATGATGTCATTAGCCATTTTAAATGAAGTTGTAAATTCATATGCTTCTATAAGAAAAAAGAGTTACATAATAATTTAAGTTTACGTAATTTCTTTCTGAAATATGGTTAGTATTAATATGCAAGAAAATATAAAACACCGGCTTTAGTCACAGAGAGGAATATCTAGCTATCGGGGAACTGCTTAAAAGAAACTCAACAGAGCCTTGTTACCGCTGTAAACAGATACAGCTGTAAACATTTATATTTGGCCTAAATAGTCTTAATGCAAATTGAAGTAATTTATAAAATGTATTACTACCTACCGAACCTCAGATTAAGGTGCACAATTATCTAGTCCCGTATTCATTGGATCAAATTATTATGCCCCAAAGCTTGGTTTCAAAAATGAAAAACATTAAACATATTTCTAGAATTATAAAGTTAACAAAATGAATTTATAGCAACAATTGAATTTTATGTTAACAATGAATAAAAAACATTAATATACGAGGGGTTATCCAAAAATTCGTGGACTTTCTTTGTTGCGTAAAATATATTTGAGATATTAATTTGAAATTCTTACACTGCCTAGAAGAATTAATAACAAATTAACACAGAAAAATTCATGTGAGTAGCTTTTTACATTCCAACAATATTTAATTTTACATAAACACATGTCGGCGACAGCGGCGCACTCCAAAAAGTTATTGACGTCAACGTCATAATATTAACGTACAACTTGTGCTTCAACGTTACGCAGTCAATGACGGTTACTGCTTCTCAATGTTATGTCCATCAATAAATTTATTTTGCCACTTTAACACTAATGATTGTGAAATTTTCTTTTCTCTGTTCGTCTGCTGATTTTTATGAAATGTTTTTAAAGGTGTAAGCCCCAAATTACAACAAAAATTTATGATCGTTATATGATCTTGCGATTTTCTAATTACCGCGTGTCCGTCATTTTCCAGTTGTAAACAATAAAGGCGTCTGGCGTTTCTAGCGATATCAACAAAAATAAACGTAAAATGACGTCCATTATTTTAAAGAATTACTTAAATGACATCATAGAAGAAACATGCGATGTTCAGCGGGTTTTCTACGTTATTTTTTTAGTGTTTTTAGCAAAAATATACGATGACTTACTGTGTTTTTCTACCGTGCGCCGGGTGCCGTGTATGTGCTTATTTAAAAGCAACATGAAATCATTATTAATGGACACAACTGACTGTTTCTTTCAAAATGTGTTGATAATATTCTACAATGTATGCTGATAAAATTTCATTACAATACACGTTGCTGTTAAAAAGATATTTAATAAGTCCACGAATTTTTGGATAACCCCTCGTATGTATGAATGTGTTTGATTCTCATCATTTTGCTTTCTGCGTCGCCAACTTGCATCGTTTTGAGATCGATGTACTATTGCTTTGGCTGCTTAATACTTCTTCGAACGTATTAATTTCTAATACAATTGCCTTTGTCTCCGAAACACAACTGTAAGTGAAGCGGATATCATTGCAATGTGTTATGTAAGAAGGGACTACATCAACTATTTTTTCTATCGTTACGTAGAGAAGTTATTGACGCCGGCATTGTTTAATTAGAATACCACAATAATTAAAATTCAATGAATAAGATATTGAAATATTTAATTGCCGAGTTAAGAACCAAGAAATATATTTTAATAAAACGTTAAATTCCCTTTGTCAGTTTTTATTACAATAAAGCTGTTTAAGTTGACACAAATTCTCTGTTCAATAAAAAGGTACCTTTGTAGTATTTCAAGCGACCTCTTTAATATACCATTTGCTGTCTTAGAGTCGTCAGTATACGAATGTTTACTACAAGTTAACTCTAAATAAATTCTGTGAGCCTGATCCTCTACTTTGAATGCAAGGTCTTCTATCCTGCAAAAAGATAGACAAAATAACTAGTTTTGCTTTTCTTCTCACTCAATGCCGCAGCTTTGCAATTTATTGTTTAATTTTGTCTTTTTGTTGTTGTTTGTGTCCATTGTTTTCTCGTTTAGGGATCGTTCTGCAGATGTTTCTAAATAATAAAACTTTACCATTGTCATATGAAATGCTAAATTCAAATTAGGCCGCTGCTTTGTCTTGTGATGCTATTTTAGGGAATCAGCTTTTGGCTACCTTTGCTTCTATAACCATTGCGTAATTTCCAAGTCAAAAGATATAAAAGCCTTATAAAAGGGTAAATAGACAATCTGAGAACATTTTGTTCAAACAAAATGCGAACAAAAAATCAATCATGATAGCGTATATGACTTGAATCTGTTAAATAGATAAATTGTCACGTGAGATTTGTTTCCCATTTAAATAATTTTGACGTGGTAGTTTTAGCATCAGTAACAATAATGATATCTTAAAAGATACATGGAACGTTAATCATGTCTATCGGACTGTGTAAGCATGCAAAAACAAATCACCTATCAAAATCTTCTAGCTTTTCCTGTGTGTCGGTAGCATAGTTTACTATATCAACCAAAAGAGTTGCCACATCTTCGCCTGATATAACCTTGCCTGGATATATTCTTTCCCACAAATATTTAATCGCATGTTCTTGACTTTGTTTTTCTTTCCGTGCTTCTTCTTGTTTGTTCCTTTCACTGTTATATATTGAAAAACGTATTTTAGTCAAGTATTTAAACAGTGTCTTGTACAAATCATAAATCAAATTTTGCTGCTGAAGAACAGTTTATTTAATGCATCACTTTAAAGAATTTAGATAAAACTATTGTTTACAAAAAGTTATACGCCCCTGAATATAAAAACATATATAGAACAAAACGAAAATAAAGCATTATTTTTAGTAGTGGAATGATGACAGTTTATTGCAAGTCTCATTTCTGGAATTGCCACAATACTTTCCCGACAGTTTTACGACAATATAAAAGAAGAGAACAATCTATCATACAAGGAGGACAATAAATCGTATCATAGAACTTTAATTACATGCAAATGTTCATGAGACACATAATGGAAATCGGCATTAAAATAACAACATTGAAGCTGTTAATGCTACATTGAAAAGACTGAAACACACAAATTCGAAACATGATGAGCGACAACTGAATACTGTGGAAAAACAATATTGCTTCAGTGTGATTCGAGTCGATACATATTCAATGTTAGATGGTAATAGATTAATCATAGCTACAAAACGACTAATTACATTTTTCAATTATAAAATGTTTAAAAAACAAATTATCAATATTTTTTTTATTTAAATATGACTTGTACTGTTACTGTTTTATTTATTTATTATAATCTACCGATTATTAAAGTTTTTTTTCCAAGAATAATGAACGATACTTAGCAAGATCTACAAACTATTTCATTTGAAGTTTAATATCTGTCAGCAGTTTCACTAAATTCGACACACTGTCATGATCGTCATTGTCCGGCAATTTTTCCGTTTCAGTTGCTAACTGCCACAAAGTAATTACATGTTGCTTCAATGTTGATATTCCTTTATTTCTGTCTTCTTCGCTGTAAAAATAACTTAAAACTAGAGCTGCCCCTGGTCTGACAATGATACTTTTCAGACTAAGACATCAACCCAATTGCTGTGTGACAGCTGTACAAAGTTGCCCCGTACTTAATTTCAGTGTCATTATTTTTTTCTGGTCCTTCGGAATCATTGATCCCAACATTTTTAAGTGTTGAAAATGGAGTACCACTCAAGTCGGTGATAGGTGGCGTGAGGAATGCTGCACCTTTCCATTATGACTTATGAACAGACTCAATCAAACCGATTTTAACATTTTTATGTAATTTTGGTGTGATTTATCAAGGAATCACACTTTATTCAGAATTTCATACTTCACAACGGCATGTGTCAAGTGCTGTGTGAAAGCTATAAAACTTGCCACGTTCTTCACTTCAGTGTTGTTATATGTTTGATCCTTCAGAACCATTGAAACCAACACTGTTTAAATGTTAAAAATTGAATTCCGATCAAGTCGGTGCAAGGATGCATGTAGGGTGTTGCTCTTTTTTATTTTCCCTCATGTACAGACTAAATCATACCGAGTCTACAATTTTAATGTAATTTTGTTGTTATTTATGCTTCCGAGGGATCGCATATTTTTCCAGATTTTAATTTGTTTTAAATCGTTTTAAAATGAAATGATTCAAAATACCCATTGAATATAAACAGGGTACTTTTTGTTTCCCGTCTTTTCGAACAATAAGGGGATAAGAAATAAGCTCCGTCCGTCTATCTGTCAGAATTACTTGACACATATGTTAACTCACATACGAATACGTGCAAGTTAAAATTTGGAGATTGTCTGTTCGGGGTTATATTTTGAATAAGGTCCGTAACTTTTTTATCCATAAAGTGTAATATTTTCTATAAATATTCATCATAAAAAGACATGTCATGCCCAACATCCTGACCTCATAACGTCAAGGGGATGGTCAAACTTAGAATTCAAAATTAAAATTGTTTGTTATATGGTCTGCTTTGTGTCTGCTACTCATCACTTCCATTCATTACATAATTATGAAAAGAAATTGTGAAGTTATATAGATCACAACATTTAAAAAGGTGTCATGTGCAAGTCCGAGACCCCTACCAGCAAGCTCAAGTCCAGACTTACACGTCAAAGGTTGACATTGTCTGTAGTTTGCTTGTCCAGAAAATAACACCGCAAGTATAAGAAAGATTCAAATGAAACTTAGAATATAAACACACGGTAGTGTGTGAGTTTTCACTGCAAGGGAACCATAACATAATTGCCTCCGTATAATTATTTATTTTTAGTGAGAAAAGCTTAAGAAATGTGTTTTTCTGTTTTCGCCTGTAACATGCGTATAGAAATTGCACCTCATTTCTATTTTGTATTGCACTTGTGTTTGCAATGTGCAAAAAAACTACATCCATTTTGAGTTATAGGAAGAGAGAATTTACAAGATTACAAGTGCGGAAAATTGAGAAGGGAACAAGTTTACTCAAGTATAACCCCATCAAACTTAGGTTGCAAGTGAATACTGATTGATTAATAATTTAACACATGATAAATGTATTAAAAGAAAAATGCTGATCTGTAACATGAAACCTGTTATTTAATTATTTTGCACATTAATTCGTGTATAATTGGCTGTAAGCCATTTATTAATTCTTGATAATAATCAATAATAATAATGCAATAATAATCATGCAGCCAGTTTACTGAAAGAAAATAAAATGCTGATCTGTAACTTGAAACCTGTTATTTAAATATTTTTGCACATTAATTCGTGGATAATTGGTTGTAAGCCATTTCTTAATTCTTTATAAGATATGCAGCCAGTTTATTGAAAGAAAATAAAATGCTGATCTGTAACTTGAAACCTGTTATTTAATATTTTGCACATTAATTCGTGGATAATTGGTTGTAAGCCATATATTTATTCTTTATAAGATATGCAGCCAGTTTATTGAAAGAAGACTGATACAAAATATCATAAGAGATGAAAGCATCGCTATGCTAATTCAACTTACCTGTCTTTTATTTGTATCGTAACATCGATCGTTTTGCTGCTTAGCTGTTTTCTTGTATTTAGGATATCGTTAATTATTCGAGGATGTTCGGAACAATCATTAATAATAGAAGGCTCAATCTGATCATCATATTTTGCCACGTCATCGTTTAGAGCTTTTATCTCCATTTCCATTGTAGCTTGCAAATTTTTCAGCCTGATATATAGTACGTAGAAAAACAATGCGAACAAATTTAAATAAGCCTTGACAGAAAAATGCGCCAAATTCACAAAAAAAAAAGATAAAATAAAAAAAATACAAAGAATAATTATTCTTAAATAGCAAAATTTTTATTTGCCGACGCTATTTGACTCATAAATGTAATTTACATATACTATGCTCCAATAACTGATAAGTGAAATAACCACCTTTTGAGTACACTCAGAGAAGATAATTATATTACGTTTTAACTATACACACTGTAGATAAACACAGTATTAACCAAATTGTCATAGAAAGGCAGGTTTTTAGCACACCAGAACCGAATATTCATGGTAAGCTATTAGTATCAAAGGGGGATACTCCTTGATAAACAGGCTTAAAATTTTGACCATGGATGTTTTTTCTAATGCCATATTTAAGTTTGATTTCAGCTAACCTGATTTTGATTTTATTAAATTTGGACCACGGATGAAAATTCTGATGTCTATTCAATTTTTGATAAAATCTTATATATTTTGATATTTTTGATATCATTTACATACTTCCGTGTATATTAACATACATACTTATAATTCAGACTAAGGGTGTAAATTTAGATGTTGAATTGAATTTTGATATTTGCTCACCTACTTTTGATATTATTGACACCATTTTATCTTATTTCTTGTTGTTTTACATACAGACTTGAAATTTTGACCATTGGTGCAATTTCTGATGACAAATTGAATTTAGCAGCTGATCTACTTCTGATACTTTTGATACAACGTGACCTAAGAAATACTTTCTTGTGATGTGATGTACATACTTGAAATTTGGACCAGGGGTGTAATTTCTGATGATTTGATATCTGCTGGCCTACTTTTGATACTTTTCAAAACAAACAGTGTTGTGAATTATATTACTAGAGGGGCAAGTTAAAGTTGAGCTGAACTTGACGAAAAAGCTGGACTTGCCTTTCAGCAAGTTTATTTAAAAATAATTTCCAACACTGAAAACGGTGGTTTCTGATGAGCGACTCTTGTTGAAAGTAAGGATCAAATAAACGTGATGAGTAATAGGGCATGCAGCGTCACAAACATAGTTTGTGGATAATTAACAAATAAAAGACATATTCTGTGAGTTTCTTACTTTTTTATTTCTGGTGTTATTTTTTCTAGCATGTTCAGCAAATTTCCTTCGTCACTATTACGGCCTGTCTTATTGTTTTCAGAATCAAATGCCAACTTCCATAATTCATCAACATGCTGCTGAAGTTTGGCTTCTCTACCGCCCGACTCCCTTTAATAATTAAAAAATAAAATTGCAATGAAGACAAAGCAAACAAGGCAAATTTAGTGATTCATCTTAGTCTTATAAAACATAATTCCTGTTGCTTTTGAACGCAAAGCTTCCCCCCACGTATGTGTCTCTACACAAAATTTATTGAAAAGCTTATATTAAGACTTCTATCATTAAAATAAAGATATAAGGATTCAGCATAATGTAGAATTATCATACTTTCCGAACATGAACTGACCCTTGTATGCTTGTTTGGACATGCTCAGTATATGCTAGTATGTATCTAACATAACATGTTTAGGTTATTAAGTTTCTTTCAATTACATTACATAAAAAACGTGCAATATTAGATGGTGTCAGAATATTAACTTTTTAAAAGTAATCTCGACTAATGATACCAATTGACATATCTTTTCTCGAACAGAATTATTGCACATTGTTAATTAAAACAACAGCGAAATAATAAATTCATTTTGATTATTTTAGTGCCCAAAATACACTAAGAATGTACAAATTTACCTGAAGCTTATGAATAATTATAAAAATAAAGTTCAGTTTTTATCAGTCAACAGTGAAACAAAATACTAATATAAATAAATAATTAATAAACTACTAAAGAGTTTAAACCTTTTTTATTTTTATACATTTCTTTACAATCCAAAAACAGATTTTATTTTGTAATAAAAATCAAATAATAGTTTTAAAGTATTTTCTGACATAATTCTAAACAAATTCATTTAAAGTCACATTCGCTTTTGTTTTTAGTAAATATTTAATGCTGATCTAGTTTGTATTAGTTTCGTCTTTTTGCACTTAGGGGGCTAACATGCAACACAACTCCAAATTCCTTCTTTATTTCCTTCATTTAAACGGATTCCAGAAAAATAATATATATCATATGTTGAGGTTCGGATCGGAGTATCCGTCCTGAGGAAATCCACCCATCCGCAAACATATGTCAGATATTATGTCAGATATGTTTTTCTTGCATATTCTGCCATAATATTTCATATTAAAAATAGTTTACCTCAATATGATATATGTTCATGGAAATTAAAGTCATTTCATCCAAAACTATTTTCTAACAATAGCGTATGAACTTAAAACTTAAATAACAATAACAAAATGACGTCATCCTATGCACATATTTCCCTTATAAAACGACGGCATTTTAACGCGTTTCATTCTTAAAGTGCGCTAAAATGACGTTGTTGTTTGGCACGCGACTAATTTGGCACCCCTATGACAAATGAAATTTTCGGCATTGGTAAAACCTCACGGAAACGCCAGTCTGCTATGCAAGAAAAGGTCGTATTGTAACTCTTAAGCTTTACTGACACAAGCTTGCAACCAGGTAGAACCACCAACTTATTATAAGCTAACTGAAGAAAAAGAAACTGCATTCCAAAGTTCCTGTCCACATTATCACAGGCAGAGGATTTGAAGTCAGCTATCTTAACCAGCCACAAGGGTACAAACATATTGTACAATGTCAGTTTGAAAAGTCCTTAGGTCCGCATATGCAGAAATTTTGAAATTTCGGAAAATTATTCGTATTTCAAATTATGGATTAAAATGAAAGCCACAGACTGTCTATGGAAAATCAAATGGCATACATTGTTACAAAGTTGGAGTTTTATTACAGGCAATTTTTTTAGATCTTAGAGGACTAATGCTCAAAATCTTACATACTAAAAACAGGCCAATTTATTAAGTATAAATCAAGTAAACAAGACGTCTAAAAATACACATAACTCCCTAACATGATATCATTTATAAACTTAATAAATGTTATAGATGACTGCGTACCGTACAAGTATAAAGAAGCCTTGCATTTCAACAAGAAACGACGACAATTAAAAAAGAATTCCTCCAAACAACTTTTAGGAATGTATCATTTTCGTAGCATAAATAAATCAATTGTTTTCAAAGATTCATAATAAACATTTACCACAATCAGTTCTCAGTAGAACACATACGAGTCAAATTTCGATTACACGATTTTCTCGGTATGTCAAAGTAAAATGGAAGTCCAGATTTATTCCCCTATAAATTTCTTTATAAAACATAAACACGGGTCGAAATTTTAATGTTTCTTGAAGTTTTCTCATATTCTGTGTTGAATCGAGAAAATATTACCGTAAACATGTCGAAGTCCTTCGATTATTTTGATACCTTTGATCCCTTGTCCATTATTCATCACTGTTCTGAACGCGGAGATGACTTCAGATCAAATTGTGTAACGGATGGTAATTACCGGCTGTGTGTTGTAACAGCTTAGTAGGCTAGCACTTGTGTGATTACATGGTCTTCTTGTTTTTGTTATTTTACAAATTGCCATAGTTGTATTATGCGAACTTCCGTGACCCGGTGTCGCGTGATATTCGCCAAGGGTATATTTGATTTAAGCTTGTTAAGTTATCGCCCTTCCCTTTTGTTCCACCTTTTGTGTCTTGATTTTAAAGTTCAAAGGCTCAGATTTAGTAAGTTCCGTTGCTTTACCAAAGTTATACTGTTACGAATCGGTAACAAATACAAAGTGAAACGTTAACGTGTAAAGTGAAAAAGTGTACCATTCCATGTTATTAAACTTTAAATTTCAACAGAAGTGAGTAAGAGAGGTCGACGGGCAAATAAAAGATAAAAATAAAAGCTCTAAAATTAACTTTTATGTCATATCTTTAAAAATACGGTCGGTGGTCTCGTAAAACATTTTATTAAAATATGTTGCCTTTTTGTACAAGCAAAGTATCCAATATTCACAAGATACAAGTTTACAAGAATAAATTTTTTCTTGTCTAGAAGCTTGTGCACGAGACTGTTGTTTTAAACACGCAAATGAAACGATACGGCACCGCACAATTCTGTCGGAAAAATTCGTTGAAAGTACGAGAATAGATTATAAATGAGGGTTCAGAATTACAATCAAACAAATCAGTGAAATCAGTGAAAACTGTTAAAAATATGAAATACTCAAGGATGCATGGAAGGTTGGCAGACAAGGACGTTCACCAAGCCTAAAACGCAGATGATGCGGAAGCGCTTAAACCTACAGGATTGTTCCGTTAACATTGTGACCTGTCTATCCAAACGATCAATGACAATGAAAACATAAACTTATGCCATGTTCTCTGGATGGTCCTAGATAGAACGCAATGATAATACATAGAATCCGTAGACAAACAATCTGTTACCCTTGAAAAACAAAAGGCTTGACTAATTACAATGATGTATGCAAAGGCATAGGCTTGTAACCAAATGAACATGTAGTTTACATTTAAAAACCAGAAGCTATACATGTGGTATGTCCGCCAATGCCTTACAGAACCGTTTATTGATAAAATGAATTGAAATGTTGTATCCAAATGTTTACTTGACTGACTGAATTGATAAATTTATAGGTCTGTTTGGAGAAAACAAGCAATGGAGAGCTGATGGCATGATTAGACCTAAAAGCACGTAATGTCTGTATTTTCAAACCCTTTAACCAATGACAATTATAAAAGGCATAACAAACCAATTAACAGGTGCTTAAAACTTCCGTGTATTGAACGCGATGAAAGGATATTGATAAAACAATGACCGCCAAATCCTCAGTCTTGACGGCATTAAATAGAAACTTCGGTAGATACCGATATGTTCTCTTTCCAATGGGGATAAACAGTTCCAATGAGATATTTTTGTTCAAAATAATTGACGAATATTAAAAGGACGTGGTTGGTCTTATGTCATAAGTAGACGATCTTTATGCAATTGCACAAACATCGAAGAGCATGATGCAAACATGACACGCGTTTGGCCCGAGCAGTTGTAAAGTGTTTACTGTTTCTCCAAGACAAATGTTTAATCAGCTGTCAAAACCTTAAATTCTTTGGTCATTCACTGACATATGACAGTGTAAAGTATTGAAGAGGCCTCAGAAAGTAAATCAGAGTTAGAAACCCTCCCAAATCGGATAAACTATCCCGTTATTGTGTTAAGGACACATACCTAGCCAAACGATCAATGAAAATATGCCTCGAGACAAACACGGAATTATATTAAGCATTTCTGGAATATCGTATTTCTCCGCACAGCAATTAATGGGCAGACGTTAAAAATTCATTTTGTGTACAATAATTATTAACCAAAAATATGTCAAGAAAATTTCTGCAAGAAAACAAGGTTACACAAAGTGCCTCACTTAATGAAGTTGCATCTTGCAAGGCATAACTAGAACTTGATATAAGTTTCTATTTATTTTACTACATTAACAAATAAACAATTTAAAACATATTTTTCAGTTTTCGTAGCAATTGCATACAAAATCATGGTATTGCCAAATTTGTACGATGTCATTAAAACCTTACGAGATTGCTATCAGTCAATTAATATTTGATATACAGCATACACATATAGTCCCATACCTTGGAATTCGATTTCAGGTCTGCCGCTCAACCATTTCCTGTTAAATTTTCGATTTTAATGGTCAATGGTAGGAAATTTTCGTAACATTTTTTCTACTTATCACAGTATCTTGATATTTGGTATACAGATAACACGTAGTCCAATACCGTAGGATTCAATTTCTGGTCTGTCAGTCATTCACTCCCTGTTTACCATCTTAGTTAATTTTTGAGCCTAATGATTTTTGGTATACAAATGCAACACGGTCTTTTTTGTCCTTGAGCCATTTTTTTATATTATTATCAAAACTTTATATAGAACAGTACATAAAAGAATTATACAAAGCATAAATGTCATGAAATCATTCCAAAAACAATTGAACAATTTGAATTAAACAAAAACTTAATAAATTTTAAACGGTATTTGCAGTCACATTTTTCTGTTTTTAATCAATACCCGACGTGGCCATTGGTCATGTTAATAAATCGCAACTACGTCTATTCATGAATATATTAAGAAAACGGTTATTTGTAAATTTAAAGTACGTGATAGAAACACAAGTATGTAAATAATAAAATAATTGATAATTATACAATATTCATTTGAATTCTACAATACTCTTTAAACTTTGCAAAGGTCATACTATAACAATATGGCGGTATATTAAACAATATGAAAAAACATTTTATAGAAAAATTTACCTCTTTGATGCTTCCTTTGCAACTTCTTTTTTCTTTTGATTCAGCATATGTCTTGCATCAAGTATGTCTTTCACTAATTTTGGATGGTTCCCTTGGACATAATCAAGTGCAGGTTCATCCGTATCCCAAAAATGAGAAATTTCATTCTTAAGAGATGATATTTCTGTTTTCAATATTTTCTGAATGTCATTCAGCCTAGGAAAAAAATATACAAATGCATATAAATTTATGCGATTAAAACGTTTTATAATATAAAAAAGAAATGGACATGTCATATCGCAGAGCGTATCATTAAGTCTTTTCATAAGACGGGTGAAATCTTGTAGGGTTGTTGATATCTAATAGAAGAATTACGTGCTAAGGATTCATACAACCATCATTTCTGTGTAGCCATTTGAAACAAGAAAGGTAACCCGCCTGTTGGGCGTCATTGCTTGAGGTCAAATCAAGCGAACGTACACTCATCTCTTTACCACCGTTCAATTGGTAGGATAAGACATTTAACATTTGAGCTTAAATATTGTTACAGACGAATTGTGGTTGAGGATTTTGATCCTCGTATATAGCTGCACGCTTTATTTTTTTCAATATAATAACAATATTGTTAACTTTCTGTAACAAAAATTCTGAAGAAACAAACGCTTTATCGAAAATATTCCAAAGGTCCTAGAAAATGTTTATAGACAAAAACGACACCTACCATTTACCTGTATCATGAATGTTTTTTACTTTCATGCAAATATCTTCCAAACAAGACTTTATTTGTTTCTCGTCATGACTTCCTCCTAGCTTTTGAAATTCTAGAGCGTCAAATTGTTTTGCGTCTATTTGCACTTTTAACTTCTCTAGGCATGTAGTGACTTTTTTCATTCTAAGATATAGACGAGAATAGACTAAATTTGTGCAAAACTTTTACCAACATAAAATTTATCATCTCATATATTGATAAGAAAAGACTCAACATACTGAATTTGCTTATTAATTGAATATATAAGATATATTAAGGGCTGAACGTTACTTATCTTCGAATAAAAGCAGCATGCCTCCAGATTTATGCTTAAGTTAATGAAATTTACAAAGAAATTAATTACACATTGCAAACAACACTTACAGGCAAGGTAGATAACAAGAAAGCGGTCAAAATATGCCAAAAAAGAAAGTATTGTATAAGTAATGCAGTATCAATGTGGTGACAAATACAGCAAAATCAGTCATTAATTGAACAAAACATGCAAACCATCTCTTGAATCCTTTTAATTTTCATGAAGTCATAGTATATTTTTTCAAGTTTAATTATTTTGAAAACGTTTAGATCATCTGGAGGCATGCAGTTTTAACTATCTTTATGAAATGTTGAAATGTTTGGTAATCTTTGTAAGTTTCACATTTAAATTTTGAAAAAAAAAAGCCGGAAACCCCCACTTTAAAAAACTTGTATCAAAAGTGTGCTTGACATTAACAAGCAATCAACAATATAATAATGAGCTCATACGCCCCCTTTTTGATGTTAATAAGTAGTTATTAAACTATTTTATATGTAGTTGATGGAAGTTTAAGAATTTTGTAGACTGTTGTCATTGTTTTGCTGGGTTACTGTAAGTAATCCAGGTTTTTGTTGTTTTCTTTAAAACATTACATAAATTACTTATCGAAAATACATCAGAATTAAATATATCAGAATTTCCTTCTAGTGTAATGTTTTAAATAATTTTCATTTTAATAATTATAGAACTCTCATAATTACTTGCTGGGAGGTAATCATGTATTTTTTGAGACATAATTTTCAAATTTCAGGAACAATAAACAATGAAACAAATTTGTTCCGATTATTCTAATATCCTTTGTATTGAATAATGCATACCCAACCTATTATTATTAATTGCATTGTTAACAACAGATACCGATCTTTTAGTTTCTGTGATATTTTCAGACCATTAATAACTATAACTATGCAAAGCAAGTGTATGTCGCCAATGACTTATTTTTAACGGTTGTTTTATACCATGTTACTTATTAGTAAATAAAGCAAAATTGTCGTCAATATGTAAAACAATTATTATCAATTATTATCAAACTATACCTCTGCGATTATACTATGAAATCAATTAATTATATCACAAAAGGCAAAATTCTCTATATTGATATGAGGTAGTTATACGAATAAAATATGCATACAGTTGATATTAAGTTAGGAAAGCAAACTTTAATATAAAAATTCTGTTTACAGAGCTACTAGAAATATATTGGTAAGTAGGAAGAATTACCTTGCTTTAGCTTCACGTTGTACATTCTCTGTGACATTTTGTACGAGTTTAAATTTGGATTTGCCTTTTACGCTACTCATGCCTCTGAAATATACAGCTGACATGTGAAATAACAAGAATGAACCATAAAGGCAACACATCATTTCATAGTATTTCCTTTACAAGAATCAACTCATTAATGTGTAAATTATTTTGTACGCAATGAATTCACAAGCTGATAAAATATGTGTGTTAAGATATATTCAGGAAATTAAAGTTAAGTGTAATATGTGTTTTACCTTGTCATTTCAAGATGTGTTATGATTCTGAAAAAGAAAATTTATATATCAAGACATATACCTAAACGTTTTAATAGAACTATTTTTTATCAACATGTAATTTCTATTGGATATTGTTCAAGTGAAAGACTCATGTCTGTGTCTTTTATAATCCCCCAATAGCTCAAAGGTCTGATTCTTGTATCAAGAAATGATATCTTACATTTAAAAAATACATTTTTTTGTTCTTATTCATAATTGAAATATTTTTATCGTCATAAGGAAAACTGTCGTACCTGTCTACCTGTTCATTTCTTTTTAAACTGTTTTTTTAGTGGGATTTTTTTTCTTTCCCTGCAAAAACTGATGTTTATAATTAAATTTTTCGTATATAGTTTTTTTTTCATTGCGATTCAGTTTTCTTTCAATTTTTCTATTTTCCATTCACTTCGCTTTTAAAACCCTTTCCCTTCCGGAAAAAATAGTAATTTTTTATGACGATGTATGTTTTTATTTTGGCAAAAATGTTTGTTTGTTTGTTTGTTTGATTTTACGCCTTTATCAAACAGTATTTCAGTCATATAGGCGGGTGTTTCCAAAACCATTGTCCTGGGGTTTTGTATAAATACCTTTCCCCGCGCAAAAATACCAAAGCAATCCCGGGGATCGAACCCACGCCAGAGAGGTAACTGGATTAGAAGTCATCGACTCTAACCCCTCGACCACGGAGGCGGTCTTTGGCAAAAATGTAGTCCTGATTTAAATCGAATAATAAGGTGATTGTTTATGCAATGATTCATCATTGGAAACATAACTGTCATGGTGCAAGAAACTGAAGTCAATTTTATAAAATGATAGAATGTTATTATATTTTCAATGATACGAAAAAAAATGTATGATCTATACAAAAATGTGATAAGAATAACATATAACGGTGTTATATTTTTTTAACACATATTGCTTATTTTACGGGTATATAATAAAAAATTAAAATGAGCAATGTCTTAACTATTGTTTAAAACTTTAAGTCATATGCCCTTGAAATGACATAAAATAAGCATAAATTCAGAAGCAGATTAATTAATTTCAAGATCGAAGAAGCCTAACCTGTTTTTTCTAAAATAATTTTTGATCATATTCTAAAGTCATGCAAATTCAGTTTATCCCCATTAAGTAATTATCATTTACACAACAATAGTTATAGCAACAACGACATAAAAAAACCATAAATTCAAAGGCAGATTATTTAGTTTTAAGATCGGAAACCCCTTATCTTGTTTATTTTTTATCTAAAAATAACTTTTTTTATCAAGTTGTATGACCTTAACAAAAAATCAAATCTTTTCTTTAATCTAAATTTATTGATGCACCAGATTGGTATAAAAACGTTTCATTAACGGCTTATATCATTGGCGGTAAAATATTTTCTTTTTTTTCATCTGGAAAAAAATGTCATTCTGTATTTTGTAGTCGAAGGATCACATACTTTAGAAATAATTGACATTTTGATCTGATTTACAGAAAATTTTTCCGACTTTACTGAAATTTAATTTTGTAAATGAACTGGCATGTCTTGTTCACCAGACGATTCAGGATTTTTGATTTGCTCGTTTTTGTAATTAACAATTTTTGTGTGGACGTTCTTCGAAAATTACTACGTAGTAATTAGCATAACTTCGGGTTAAATGCGTACAAGGAGACAGATACGGTACATATAAGTCGCTACCCTAGAGAGGCAAGAATAATTAGTTAATAGCTAATTACATGTATCGTCAGTTAAATGAGTTCGGAACTAATGTCCAGGAATCCTTGATGATATGCAGCTACAGACTGGAGTTGCCAGTGAGGATTCAGAAAAACTGCCTGTACAAAAACAAATAAATGTGAGATGATAGCAGGGACGTTGTGAATTATCTTCAAATGTGATAGGAATTATCATTTCTGCAGGGGAAAGAAAAGAAATTGACAGTTGTCAGAAGCAGAGGAATTGAGGAGACGATTATCATAAAAAGTTTTAAAAAAAAACATTAATTAGTTGAGAGATAAGGTTATTTGTTCCAAAATAGTGATAAAAAGATCATTCAGCCAACAACTGATGTTACTTTTAAACAAGTTTCTATAAAAGATCTGAGAAAAAAAAAAAAGAAAAATTACGTCGTAAAGTTATATCCCAAATTCTCAAAATAGTTATAGATATACATTTGTATTTGAATGAGAATCAAGTTTTATTTTGAATTTTTACCATGCTAATTTGAAAAAGCATGTCAAAATAATTGATCAAGTTCTTCTGAAAGTTCAGATGATGTTAAGATTACTTAATAAAAACAAAACAAAGTCTGGAATTTAGGCTAAAGCTGGAAATGAAGTTGTAAACAGACAACAATATCCTCATCCTGGCCTCCATTTTTAGTATGTCACAGGTTCTGTAACATATGATCAGTTGGAATTAAATGTGTTTGTTGCTGAGGAGCTGAAAACCATTTCCAATTCTTCCATTGATACTTCTAAGCGTGTAGCCAGAATAGCTATGTTACAAAAAAAATGTATTTATGTCTTTCATTCGATACGCTGTTGTTTTGAGAGAAATAGAAATATTTCTCTGAAAACACACACACACACACACACACACACACAAATCAAAAAAAAAAATTAAACGAGAATAAGGATAAAAAATGGGTCAAAGATAGAAATGGCAGGGCTGCACACCCGTTGTACACCAAATATCATGTGGCTGTGATGTTACGAAAATTGTCTACCATTCACGATTAATGTCGAAAATTTGTCGAACATTTAACTAAGTTGTTAAACAATATGTGAATGAGTGACAGACCTGAAATCAACATCACAGTATAGGACGACCACGTTTCAATGTTGTATACCAAATATCAAGAGAGTAAGTAGTTGCTAAATAAATTGCTACGAAAACATACCATTAATGTCGGTAAACAGGAAGTGGATGAGCGACAGACCTGAAATCGAATCCTAAAGTATTTGACCACATGCAAATGCTTTGTTTCCTTAAGTTTCGCCTTTGGTTTGGCTTTATGGAAAAATCATCTTTGAATGATTATTGTACACACAGACTGACAAAGCATTTCGGATTGTATTTGAAGATGACATATAAATTATCACACACAGGTAATTTATTTATATGTGCTTTTTATATATTTGATTTATAACTTATTTGATCCTTAGTATACAAAAATATAATTTCTGAAATTGAACTATGCTTTTGTCGTTTATTGAAAGAAAACTTATAATTTCCTTTTTGCTAAACATAATTTATTGACAATATTCTAAAGCCATACAAATGTTAATAAAATCAATGATAGCGTTTTTCATTCTGTCTGTATAAAAATTCAGTAGTCTCTATTAAGTACACAGCAATGGTTATAGGACCAAGCAACTTTCTGAATATTACATTAATACAAATAAATGAACTAAAAATGTTATATTTACCTGCTAGATTCTCGTGGTGTCTCTGTCTTTGTTCTATTCCTTTCAGTTCCTCGTCGTCGAGAAAAACTTAAAGAAAGCACCAAATAATATGTAAAGATACATGTATATTATGATCAAATTTGACATTAAAAATATTGGTAAATTCTGCACAGTCTCTTTGTCAAAATAACCTAAACATGTCATTGACTTCACATGAAGTAGATATGTTATGTTTAAAACTTTATATGTTGATACAAAAGGAATACCGGTATATAATGTCGTTAAAAACTAGCAGTTTCTTCAAGAAAAGTATCAACAGTGAACTTCACTTATCTCGTTATAGAGAACTCAGCTTCTAATACATAGTTTATTCATTCTTTTTTTCACATTAGACATATTAAGTAATAATTTTATAGATTTAAATACATTTCTGTGATTAAAATATTCTACTTAAGAATGAGCACAGTACAAGAAAAGAAATCATAACCTTCTTTTTTTTGCTACGCAATATATATAATTTGTAAATCAATTACATGCATGATATTATGATATGTCTCGTACTTTACAAAAGATATATTCAGTGTTAATGTTTTACAATTCTAAAGTAAAATATAGTTGGCACTTACGAATACCTGCTATCGTTGCTTTGGATACGTCCTGCAACTTTCACTTTTTTATCTGTACCGCATTCCCTTAAAATGTTCAAATGTTTATAAGAAAGTAGAAACTGAATGAATAGATATCTTAATGCAAATAACTAGTATTTTGATCAATTTATTCAAATGGTGATATCGTTTTGATGGATAAAATTAAATTAAATATTAGAATTTGTTATTTCAAATGTTAATAGATATGTGCCTCAAAAACATGATGGAAACTCATGTTCCATTAGCTTAAGAATTTTCCACCAGATCCGCATCATCCTTAATTGGTATTGACCATTTATCTAATCATTTGAAATAAATATCCTGTTAAATGTGCAATTCTACATCTAAATATTTAACATTTTCTGACTCTACACAATCGTTTGTTATTTTCAAAATATTTACATTTATGACTTTAACATGATACTGCGATATCTTTACACGAGCAATCACCAATATTTCTAAATCAAAAACTTAAGAAGATGAATATTGGAGTAAAGCATTCGCCGAGAAAACATCATTTTCATTTATTGAATATGATTAAAAATACATATATGACCTTCACAAACAAGGTCTTTCATTTACACATCAAGGTTATACCTAAACATGAAACATATCGAGGGACCAGTACGAATCAATTTTGTCAATTATAATTAATAACACAGTAATAGAAATTTATGCAAAATATAAACACTTAAACACATTTAAACGTTCAATATTAGTCTGAGGTCTAGGTCAAAC